TGACGAAATTTAGTAAAATTAGTGGCATATAGGTGATCTTTAATAGGACTAAACAAGAGCAAATTTCTAAAAGTTAGGTTCATTTAATTTCAAGAAAATAAGGATTTTCTAGAAAAAAAGTTTGTTTTTTTTTCTAAAACAGCTCTAACTTTTTATAAACTCAACCGAAAATGACAAATACTTTACCAGTTATTGATAAATTTATGATGACTTAACAGCCAAAAATTTAGAGACGTATCTTTATACCTTGCACTTTTAGAGCCGTTTTTTTTTCCAAAATTGAAGGACAGCTGTACGCTCAATTTTGAGATACACTGTACATGCATTTAGATTAACATCCGAAGTTCCTCCTTTTTCGCATATTCTGCACAAAAGATACGTTCTAAGCCCCGCCTCAAACAGGATTTCGCGCAGTTTTTATTAATGGAGCGGAGCCTAGAAATGTATATTTTGTGTAGAATATGTAAAGATGGAAGGACATCCGACGTTAATCTAATAGCAGATAGAGAGTTACCAGACATGTTTTGCAGTGTCAGGTACTCTATTTTGTAGTCTGTGAGGTGGAAATCACAAATCGAGTGTCATCAAAATACATGGCATGTTGAGCGATTGAGCTCGCGAGAGAGAGAGCTTTCTCTCACTTTTTTTTTGCTCTCTGGGTAAAGCGCCATACAAAGCATGAAAACACTAAGAAATTTCGCAAACTTCAAAACATGCATAGGCGTAGCCAGAGGGGGGCATGGGAGTGGACAGTGGGAGGCGACTGCCCCCTAAACTCAGGAACGCAAAGGCTTTCGGGGAAATGGCGTTTGGTGAAATGGCATTCGGCCAAATTTCCCTTGAAAACATGTATTGTCCTTTTCTGTGGCGTGTGGATTTTCACCAAGGTCAACTCCGCACACCAATCTTGGCTCATCTTTTTTGTTAGTGTACCGCAAGTGTGCCGCATATGTACCGATTGTGCCGGCCATAGAGCAAGCTGCGATTGTTTGTAAAATACTCAACCGGGCAACTGGGTACTTTCACATTGGATGTGGTTACTAGCCCATGGGAACTGATCGGACCTGATTCTACATGTATCTGATCGGTTGTAGATGATGCTCAAATTCATAGTATTCGTTCGCCTCAATCGGATGATGACGCGGGATAAGGCAGGTGCGCGCAATTTTCCTGTGTTCATAGGATAATTAAAGTCCTGTGTATTAAGATTTAATGCCTTCAAAGGCAGACGAGAAACCTAGCCTTTCGTGATGTGAAAAGCAACGGTCTATCAACGGCCGAAAAGAGTTGAAACCGGTGGAGAACATTGTTGGAGACCGAATATAGAGAATGATGAGTATGACTTCTGTAGTTTGTTTTGTGTGAACTAGTTAACGAAACTAGTTAAAAAAAATAACCAAATGGAACACAGACTTAGGCTAAGAGTTATTTAAAAATGTTCCATCTGTCAAATTTAAGTGAAAAATCACGAAACGGACTACAGCATAAGTCATTTACAGATTATCACACTCGCTATCACCTCAAAATTGATGCAACAAAGAGACTGCTAGATTTCTTTTTCTGTTGAAGTCGAGCAACTTCGCAGGGGTCTCTACGCACTTATTTTGTACCAACTTTTTCTCTAGGTGCCTCAAGTGTGCCGCAACTGTGCCGGCAGTGCCGAGAGCGCCAGTCATCGGTCTGACTTTGTTTGTTTGTTAATAATAGCATCTTTGGCAACCCGGTATTTTGACAGCTCAAATATTTTGTTTTGCTTGTTGAAATCCAAGTGCGAGAGAATAATATCGGGAATACACCGATCGGAACCGAGACACGGAACTGGAATGAATGCTTTATGCTGATGGATGATGGAATAGCAGATGTAGTAACAGCAACCGTCGTGGAGCGAAAAATAACAACTAAGCATCACGACGAGAAGCTCGAGGTCGGATGGTAATTCTGGTAGCTACTTGACATTGACATAGAGGTAACTCTAAGACCAGAAGGTCCCGAAGAAACGAGCTCAACTTTTTGGCTCAGCTCTGGTACTCTCTTCGGTCCCAAGCTAATCGATTCACCCCTCGAAACATAAGAAAATCCACGAACCCCTCATTTTATCTGTCAAACTTTCATACCGAATCAAAGCAAACATAGTCTAGTACTAGAATTTCGACTACAATGGGGTAAGTTAATCAATTTGCTTGGGACCAATAGGCTAGGCAAGTAGTGAGCCAATCTACAATCGTTAGTTTTCATCGGTTGACATTGGTCCGTAGTCAGCTGTTCTCTACAATGAAATAACGGATGCAGTCCAGATGAGAGGAACTGTTGATAGGTTATTATTTATGGGTAACTGCCTCCGGGGAAGTATTTGTCGATGATTAGAGCAATAAAACAATAATTTTCAGCGCAGCTGCGATTGCCCTTGTTTTGGTATACTTGGTGGCCGGAATGTGTCTCGTGTTGAAAGAAGTTCTGCTTCGGACAGGCATTAAAATTACGCTAAATGTGTTTCGGGAAATCTTACTCGCTTGTGGTTTCCAAAAGTTGGATTGTGTTAGCAACAAACAAATTTTTGGCCGCATGCGCACTGCGCAGGCACATCAGAGATAATGCAGTGTTGCCAGTTACTTTAAAAATCATAAAAATTCTAAGCATGGGTGCCAAACAGTGCTAATTAATGAGCCCAGGTGTGCCCAAATCTGTTTTTGGCATACTGTGTGGAGTGACCAACCCGAGGACCAACCCCTAGGTCTGCACCTACAAACAAATGTTCAATCATTTGTCTCTCTTTCTTCCGTCACTTCATTGGTCTTTCTTTCAAGCTTCGGTGAAGTGGATGAGTGAAAGAGTGGATGAGTGAAAGAGCGCTCGACTTTGATAGTTTCGTCTTTAATGGAAAGCATCAACCGGGGTTTCATGACTATATGACAGAACATAAAAATATATATTAATGGCCGTGTGCTCCAACTCGGATTAACTTTTAATACAGTCCCTGTTTGAATGATCTGCAAAATATTAGCTTAAAGTTGCGTTGATTAACTCTGATGAAAGCAGACGGATATCCATCTTCGGGACGGATATCCAAAACGGGACATAACACATACTAAACAAATTGAAAGAGCGGTGATAAAGTGTTCGTGAAAGGGATTGAAAGCCATCATGAGATTTCGTTTCAACTCGAAAATCGACGTTACTTTCATTGAAAGCGGCGAACAAAGGAACGACGAGAAAATCCACAGTCAGCCCTTCGTTCTAAGCGTGCTTCTTTTTCATTTTCGTTTCGTGCTGATGCGTGGGACACGTTGTATGAAAGAAACAAAACTCGAGTTCATTTAGAGCTTCGAACAGATTTACACAGATTTACGAACCGTTCTATTGAAGAATTTATCCAAAGAGTAATTCTACGCCAAATGACAAACCGATCCGACACGACCTTCTCCGATTTGCACGAAAATTTGCATAATCGTTTGTTATGGTTAAAGACTGTAATCAAAAAAAAAGTGAGACACATAAAAATGGTCACCCAAAATTCATTTTAAGTTTGATTTTCTTCAAACTTCAGGGAATAAAACACAAAATGCCCGGACCATCACCTTGACACCACTTATAAGATGTTGGGCTTTTACCCACTGTTTTATCAAAGCCAGCTTGTTATCCAACACCTTAGGTGTTTTACGAAGTCTGGCCTTCATGATGGCCCAAAACATCTCAATCGGACGAAGTTCCGGCGAGTTCGATGGGTTGACGCCTCCGTGAGGGTAGGAGTTGCTTCTTTAGACACTCGTCCCGGTAGATTTGCCCGTTGATGGTATCCGTCGTGATGTACGACTGGCTTAACTTGCCGCACCCACAGATGGCCTTCCAAAGCAAGAACTTATTGGTAAATTTGTCTACCTTCTTCTGGCAACGTAAACCTCCTGAACCGGTAACTGATTTGTGTCCGCATTGATGTAAATTTTGTCGTCCATCACGACTGTTCTGTTTGTTGTTCCGGTTCGGTGCCTTACGGACCGTGTAGACGTGGATACCGGCACGTTTTATCGTTTTTTGGACAAACCAGTTGGAAAGTTGGATTCGGCCGATGCTTGAACAGACTCAACACCTTCCTGTTCTTCACCGGGTCAGCTGTTTTCGGTTTTCTGCCGCAGCCTGCTTGCCGCTGGTTCGCCTGGGTTTTCTTGAATGACTTAAACACCCGAGAAATGGTCGAATCATGAAATTCCAGGTGTTTTTCGATCCATCTGTGGGATGCAGTTGGATTTTCCACGACGACGCACAAGATGTTTTTGGCGGATCTGCTCTTGCTCCGATGCCATCTCGATAACCACTAGACACATTGTGATGAAATTCTGTCAGGGTAAACATTACGCTCTTAGCTAGTTTCAGTCTAAATTTCATCAAGTTTTACCAAAACGCTAAAGTTACTAAATAATCAATGTGTCTCACTTTTTTCTAGTACAGTCTTTAATCATTTACATTTGAGCTAAACTTCGGTCATTTTGAGTCCATGTGTATACTTTTCCAGGAATGCATTCATTTTTTTCCAACAACTTTATCTCAGACGCCATTTTGATTGGAAGTCACGTTTTTGAAAATTATTGAATCCGTCATTAAGACTTTTTTGCAAGACTGAAATTGGCCGAATTTCAGCTCAAAGTAGATCGAATAAAAAAAATCATTTTTATTTTCGTTTTTTGGCCTGCATCGCTCCAAAACACGCTCTGATGAGACAATGGAACCTTACCCCCAAGCTCCTCCCCTGATCCTATCATTCGACAATGTACCTCTCTAACCTCGAGTAAGCCGCGAGTATTCGGCCCAACTCCTACTAGACAAAGAATTAAGGGAATTTTGTTACAAACAAAGAACAATGAACTATCGGCTCCGTAAAGCTAACGCGATTGAGCCTAGCAAATAAACGAACTAGTTAAAAAAATAAAAATCGCTCCAAAACATCAACCTCGTTAAACGTCACTAACGCAATGCCTACTCTTTTTTTCGGCTTTTCACCTTAACAGCTACCGCGACCCGTGCTCGGCCAGTTTGAACGAGGACGACAACCACACGATCAAGTTGGTCGGCAATGCCCAGCGGAAGGCCGTCACCCTGGCCAAGACCTGCGAGAATACCAACGAGCTGCGCGAGTGCCGTGCCCCCAAGGACTGGTCCATCCTGGCCCTACAGAACTCTCGAACCGGCAAGTCGCACTACCTGGTCATCTGCAAGTGCCCAACGCACTTCCGACTTGGTAAGCGCCATATTTCAATACGCAAAACAAAACTCGGTTGTCTTACCAAAACATTTTTCGTTTGCTTACAGAGGGTCCACTCGCTCACGATCAGCCCACGTATGCCGGTCTGCCCGGAATCAACGTGTACGGTATGCTGTGCGTCCCACCGGAGACCTACGCTCCGAAGCCACTGAAGACGCCCAGCTCCCAGTCGATCTACAACAAGTGGAAGGTCCGACCGTCGCCAGTTTCCTCCTACCGATCGTTCCAGAATGCCACCATGACGACGGCGGACGCAGAGTGAAGAAACGAACCCGTCAACCCCGCCTACTAGGCGGTAGGCAGAGTTAGAACACGCACACACACACACAACTAAACTAAATACAATTTAACTGAGAGTTAGCTTCATTCTCGACAGCCAAACCGATTAGTCTTCGTGATTAGTATTTATTATATTTTTTGTATTTATTGCATGAAGAGTATTTATTTTATTCGGAAACAAAAAACTTCCACAGAGTTGGAATCTATCGTTTATTTTCGGTTCGGAGAGTTGAACGTATGGGTCTTTAGTTTGCCACAAAGAGGGAAAGTGTACGGCATGACGATCAAGTCTTCCGACAATTTTATGATAACCCAAACGGTCCATAGGAGAACGCTACGAATGTTGCGAACATTTGTACTGCGCTTTCCAGTCGATTGAAATGACTACATTTTTTAAAAAATAAAGACCTTAATTAGTCATCCTCTTGGGTGGGTCGCTTTGGTGAGTAGCTTTTTCGCAAGGTGCTCGCATAATTCACAGCAGGCCAGGAACGCAAGACGATGATTAATTAACGGAAACCCCTTTTTTAATGGAACGAAAAACCACTGTTATTAGTTTTAGAGGGAAAAGTTATCTCACACGCACATGTGAAAACGAAAACAAACGAGTGTACGACAAGAGAAAAAAAATAAGAATTGCACCTTAATAATCGCTCACATCTCTTCTTTCCGCTTCCACCACACGGCGAAGCAGGCGTCGACGAGGTCTGCAATATTTAAAAACAGCAGGCCTTGCTCGTAGATCAAGCACCCACCCCCCGTTCCCGCCTTTATTCTGCAAGTCGAGTGACGTCAAGTCGAATCGACTTTTTGGTTCAGTCACAGGTGTGTCACAAGACTCGCAGAATAAAGGGAACCACCTTTTCGCACACCATTGTTGTTTCTCTGTCATGTTTAATAAGCACTCAACGCCATCTGCAACCCAGGGTAACACAGATGTCAATGAAAGTAAAAATCCCGCAAAAAGTAAAGATTAATCTTAGACTACATACACAGCACAACAGCGCTCCGCCCTTTGTGTCCTCCTACAGCGGACGAGGAGGGAGCGCTCCGGTATCACTTTCAAGAAAATTGGCTTGATCTCTCGCCCGGAGGTGGAGGTGGAAAGAAAACAAAGCATCCAGCTAAAGTATAGTAAACAATGAAGAAAATGAGAGTCACTTACTCACTCGAAACCCGCACACACGCACAAACATAATAATAGTAGAGAGCCAACGTAAGGAATAGCTGAGCGCACAAGCGAGTTATTACTTTATTATAGAAGGGCAAAAGAGTTTAGTTTCATTTTAAACCATTTCCATTTACTGTAATTGCAGAGTAGAAAGAAGAAAAGGAGAAGATGAAATTTTTAGATATGAATCAAAGTTGGCGAAGAGCAAGAAAGCTCATCTGTCCGTCATCCAGAGTGCAGCACTCCCGTCAAACCTGTATCAAAATGAACTGTAATTCCAATCAAGCAATCGAACTGAACCTAATTAATCATGAGAAAATTATAATGTTAACAAATGAAGCTCCTCAAATTGCACCCAACCACTCATGAAGATGAGTAATTTTCTAAATTGCGAAGTTTGACGTGTAAAGCTAAACACTTCCGCCACAATTAAAAACCATACGAAAATTGCGAAATCATTAGTTAAGCCCTAAAAAGTGAAGGAAATGAGAGAGGAAACTCTGTTGTAAATATGTTTCAACCCGCCTATCTCTCCCTTGTTCTCGCACCCCAATTTTCCTACACCTATGTACTCTCCGAAATCCCAAAACCGGAAAGTGCCCTGTCCAAAATTAAAGAGAAGAAAACAACCGATAATTGTACTTTTTAATCATTAGTTTTTTTTAACATTAAAACACACATACATACATAAGTACGCGCAAGCTAACGATATTAAATTATAACTCTCCTAGCGAGCGCAATTATTATCCTAATAACTACAATTTGAGAAAAATCAAACAAACAGTAGCCGGAGAAAATGCAACCGCAATCCATAAACTGACAGTGAAGGAAAATAAAACCTGCACACAAATGATGTGTATAATTTAAAGAAAATTAAAGTCAAAATCGAGTTTCACTTTTAATCACAATACTCCTCCCTCTGGCACCACCCCATCACCATCGGAACCGAGCAGCGCATCAATTCGGCTTCGTTCAATAGTGAAAACGCATCAAAACGAGCCGTACGGAAATTGCGGTCTACGGTTTTTGAACTCGCTAAATAGGCTCAATGCGCATAATACAACGGGCGGTCATGAACTTGCGGAGCAGTTGAATCAATAATTAAAGCGATATGTAGGACCACGAGTGAACCATCCGAATTAGTGTTTGGTCGACTGAACTCTCCTGTCCGATCGTCTTCGGGTAGCGGATTTTAAATTACATCGAAAGTTCAGTGCCATGATGCCACCAATACAATGTTTCACCGCTGCAAAAACAAATTGTTCGTCGTCCAGCTTCAAGTTTAGGAACCGGCACCGCCTTTTTTAGAAGATCTGCTGTTTGAAGATGACTGCCAACGTGCTCCAACTTGATAATCTTCTCTTCTCGAACAAAGTGATGTCGGATATCGATATGCTTACTGCGGGGTGAATATCCGACTTCTTTTTCAGCAAGGTGAATCGCACTTCGGTTGTCGCAAAAGTGTCGTGATAGTAGAGAGTTATGGAAAGACGACTACTTCTGTCGAAGGATAATTAGAAGAATGATTTATTTAACTTCAAACTCAAACTCATGGCTACTACGATCTAACAAATCTTAATAGAGCTACTACGATCTCGGTTTGCTCGTTCTTGACACCCCTCCTCAAACTGACCGTGGGAAAACTCCGATACTCGAACAGTGCTTCCGGAACGGCATCGTCGAAAAACCTTTCGTCAACAAGTCAGCTTGCTGCTCACCCGTTGGAATGTAGCGAACTTCAAGTTTCTTCGAAGCTACACACTTCCGCACAAAATGTATCTTGACGTCGGTGTGCTTCAAACGCTTCGAAGGTCCGGCTGATTCCATGATAACAATGGTTGATTGATTATCTTCATATAAAAGTGGCGGCTGCGGTTCGAGCCCCCCCCAAATCCTTCAAGACCTTGCCGATCCAAATGGCCTCGCACGCTGCGTCTGCTAGAGCGGAACATTCCGCTTCGGTCGACGACAAGGATACGGTGCTCTGCTTCCTGGTACTCCAACAGACTGTGACTCCGTACAGCTAGAACAGGATTCCCGAAACCGAACGCCTGTCGTTGATATCCGTAGCCCAGTTCGCGTCCGCATAGCCAGTCACTTGCCGGATGGGACCGGTCGACCGATCGTACACCAGTCCGTGGTCAGCTGTCCCCTGCAGATACCGCAAAATCCGCTTGGCGTGCACCCAGTGATCTTCGGCTGGATTTCTCTGGAACTGACTGAAGTAATTAACCGCTGCGCTGAGATCTGGTCTGGACGTCACCATCAAATAGGTGAGGCAACCTATCAGCTCACGGTATGGCTTCTCCAGCTTCTCGTCCGTGTCGTTCTTCACAAGTTGCAGACCCGCTTCCATGGGAGTTAATACGGGCTTGCATTTCTCCATTTCGAATCGCTTCAGGATCGATTTCTGACTTAGTCGCATTCGTCCCGACAACACGTCCCGGTTAATCTTCAATCCCAGGAACATCTTCGCTTCGCCCATGTCCTGCATCGAGAACTCCGACTTCAGCAGTTTCTTGATGGTACCGATGACACCCAAGGAACGAGAGATGACGAGGATATCATCGACATACAGCAGCAGGAACACCTTCTCACCATCACGCTCACATACGTACAGGCAGCTGTCACTCTCGGACCTACGAAAACCGATCCGGGTTGCAAACTCGTGATGCCTGCTTCAAACCGTAGATGGATTTGTTTACCTTACAGACTCGATCCCCCTCCTCAAATCCTGGAGGTTGGCGCATGTAGATCTCCTCCGATAGATGACCGTTTAAGAACGCCGTCCGGACGTCCATCTGGTGGATCCGCAAATTCTCCTGGTTTGCCAATCCCAGCACCATTCGAACCGTCGACATCTTCACCACCGGAGCGTAGGTTTCAGAGTAATCATATCCATACCGCTGCGTGAATCCTTTGGCAACCAATCTCGCCTTGTGCTTGTCTTCGTTGCCATCCGGCGTCATCTTTAGCTTGAACACCCATTTGCAATCCACCGGTTTTCGTCCCGACGGTAGATCCACCAGCTCCCAGGTATTGTTTTCAGCTAGTGATTTCAGTTCGTCCTCAATGGCTTCACGCCACCGCGGCCAATCCTCTCGCGACTTCATCCCTTCAATGGTGTCCGGTAGGTTTTGCACGTAAATCTCCGCATTCAACGCGTACGCCAGGCACTAGTAGTCGCCCAACTTTGCCGGGGCCTTCCGTACACGTACGCTTCATCTCGGGTTAACCTCTTCTTCTTCATCATCATTTCTTTCACCAGTGTTTCATCGTTGTCGTCATCCTGGTCGTCGTTTGGAGGATCAACTTGTTCATTTGCTGGCTCAATTGTAACTACTGGTTCATCTGGGACCACCGCCTGCGATTTCGGTCGGGTCCGAACCGGTTGGGCTTCGTCATCTTTGACATTTTTCACAGGTTCTTCGCTGGTCGACGTATACCTTGATTCATTCACGATGACGTCACGAGCAAGAAACAACTTCTGCTTGTGGCTGTCCCACAAACGATACCCGTTCGTACCGTAGCCCACGAAGTAACATACCTGGCTACGATCGCTTCTCCTTGGGACTGAAGCTGTAGGCCTTGCTCTCCCAGATGCGGAGTTTGGACACGTCTGGTTTGTGCCCGTACCACATCTCGTACGGCGTCTTCTTGTTCAACGCCATTGTCAGTTCAAAGTTGTAGAGAAATACTGAGGTTTGAAAGCGTTTATTAATGAGTGCTTCAAAGAAATCAGTATGCTCTGCAAGATCTGAACTATGATCCCGACAATTCAGTATGGGAAGCTTTACGGAACAATGAAATCTACGTATTATAATAATTCTGTTGATTTCTACGTTCACCTGCGGCCACTTCAAACGATTTCAACGGTTATGTCACAAATGTGCCAACGCACTAACTATCTTTTTGTATTCTTTGTATTTAGAGTTCACCAATTTCTTTTTAATCCGAAAACAATTAAATCACTTTTAAATAGACGAAACCAAGCTCCTTTTCTATCCGTTTGACGTTTATGCTGCAGTCCCGTAGCAATGGGCACTCCCGTTACGATCGGTCGGCAGTGCAGCCAACTCCACGGCTGCTGCGTCGACATCCTCCCCCGGGTGCATCTTGGGATACGTGAAGACTGCACTTCTAGAGCCTACATCCAGCAGAGCAAGCTTTGCCGCTGGTCTACGTAGAATGCCTCCGGATGTTTGCACCTTAGCTTGTCGAACTCTACCGTCGGCGCCTACGAACGTCTGAACTACCCGTCCACGCATCCAGTTGTTGCGCTCGCTGTCGTTGACTATCAGCACCAAGTCACCTTCTTGTAGTGGCCGAACCTCCGCGAACCACTTCGATTGTCTCCGTATCACTGGCAGGTACTCCACAGTCCAGCGATACCAGAAACGGTCCAGCTTTAGCTGGATTTGATCCCACATATCCTTCAAACGATGCTGTGGCTGACCTGGTACTACATTCGGTTGATTTGCACCGCTTGAGCTTCCCATTAAAAAATGGTTCGGTGTCAATGCTTCTGACTCCGCAGAGTCCAGGGGCAGGTAGGTCAGAGGCCTTGAATTTACGATGCTTTCCGCTTCCACAACCAGTGTTTGTAATCCCTCATCATCCAACTTCCCCTCAGAATACGCATCCATCATGGCTTTCTTGACAGACTGCACAAGTCGTTCCCAAGCGCCTCCCATGTGTGGGGCACCGGGAGGTATGAAGGTCCATCTTGTCGATGAATTGGTAAACGATGATGACAGTCCCTGGCTTATCTGCTCCCGCAGCAGGCGTTCAGCTCCCTGGAAGTTGGTCCCGTTATCGCTGATGAATTCTATCGGTGAACCACGCCGTCCAACAAAGCGCCGCACACAGGATATACACGAAGACGTCGACAAACTGAATGCTACCTCCAGGTGTACCGCACGCACTGTGAGGCACGTAAATAGTGCAATCCATCTCTTGACGCTGGATCTCCCGACTTTCACTAGCAGTGGCCCGAAGTAGTCCAATGCCACGTGACTGAACGGCCGTGCGTGAATGGCCAGTCGTGCTGGTGGCAACGGTGCCATTGGCGGGATATTTGGATGCGCCTTGCGTAGTATGCACATCATACAGGAACGTGCGAAATTCTTAACTAGCGAACGGAGTTTCGAAATAGCAAATACTTGCCGAATCTCGTTCACGATAGTTTCCGTGTTGGCATGACGATATTTTCGATGGTACTTCTCGACTACCAGTCTAGTTACCCAGTGTTCTCTGGGCAGAATCACTGGATAGCACATGTCATAACTGATGCCTTTAGCTGCTCCAATCCTACCGTATTGTCGTAGCAATCCGTCCTCGTCGATCACTGGAACCAATTCATAGATCCTACTGCTCTTATCTAGTGGCTTCTTTTCGTTAACCGGCAGGCCTTCGTTCCGCTGGAGTATGTTCTTCTCGTCAGGATACGATTCCCATTGAACAAGCTTCAAGATGGTAACTTCTGCTGCAAGGAGTTCGTGCTGCTCCAGTTGTCCTTTTCTTATTGGCTGTTTCTTGGCAGCGTTGCGCAGAAAGCGTAGAACGTAGGCTAGAGTGCGGTGTAGTCGATCCCATGACGAAAACCTTTCATAATCGATGATCCGCTCGACCGCAGCATGGTGCAACACCGATGCTCGAATCTCTTCTGTGGTGTTCATGGACGGTGGTAATGTACTTGGCCAGTCCTGCTCAGGTCTATGTAAGAACTTTGGTCCGTCATACCACTTGCTCTCGTCCGAAAAATACGGACCGCATCCCCATTTGGTCGCTTCGTCGGCGGAGTTGAAACGCGACCGTATCCACTTCCATTCCGCAGCATTCGTGTTTTCCAGTATTTCTCCCACTCGGTGGGCTACGAAGGGCTTGAAATTACGAGGGTCCGATCGTATCCAGTGCCATACTGTGGTAGAGTCTGTCCATAGAACTCTCTTTTCTACCCGAATCGTGTGGTTTTCCTGCACAAATTTCAAAACGCGCGTTCCGAGAACACAGGCTTGAAGCTCAAGCCTCGGAATCGACATGGGCTTGAGAGGGGCAACTTTAGCTTTACCAGCAACCAGTGCACAGCGTATCACTCCGTCTCCATCCTTGGCGCGCAGGTAAACGGCACATGAATACGCCGTAGGGCTTGCATCGACGAAAACATGTAGTTGCGCTCCTCGATAGGTATCTTCTGTAGCTCGTGGAAAGTAGCATCTCGGGACTTTGACAGTCGATACAAATTTAATCATCTCAACCCATCTTCTCCAGCGGTCGTAGGCAGCATCCCCAATAGCTTCGTCCCAATCGGTTCCCGCTCGCCACAAATCCTGAATCAGAACTTTACCGTGTATCAGGAACGGAGCAAGTAGCCCAAGCGGATCGAACAGTGTCATTACGCAGCGAAGCACCTGTCGTTTGGTTGGCACGTTACCGCTTGCGATGAGATCTCGCACCTCGTCGCTCATACGAGTAGAAAAGCACAAGTCGTCCGTAGAAGGCTTCCACAGCATGCCCAAGACCCGTTCCGTTGATTCGCCAACTCCCATGTACAGATTCTTGCATTCGACTGCCTTGGTCTCTCCCAGATGCCGTAAGATTTCATCGCAGTTAGAGTTCCAGTTACGTAGGTGGAATCCTCCGTTCCGGTGTACATGTCGCACTTCTTCCGCTACCTTCTTCGCTTCTTCAACGGTTCCGAAACTATCTAAATAATCGTCAACATAGTGGCTGCGTAGGATACCTTCTGCGGCACGTGGGAACTGATCCGCATGCTCCTTTGCGTTCAAGTTCTTGACGAACTGTGCCGATGCAGGTGAACAGGTTGCACCAAAGGTCGCAACGTCCATGATAAACACCTCCAGTGGCTGCGTTTTATCCTTCCGGTACAAGAAGCAGAGTGCGCACTTATCTTCCTCTCGCATAAATATTTGGTGGAACATCTCCTTTATATCTGCGTTTACCGCCACCCAGAACTGACGGAATCGAAATAAGACCGCTGGCAACGCCGTGAGCTGATCCGGGCCCTTAAGCAGCATACTATTTAATGAGACGCCACCAACCTTCGCCGAAGCATCCCAAATAACGCGCACTTTTCCGGGTTTGTTAGGATTGGTTACCACGCCCAACGGCAAATACCACGTTCTTCCTGGGTCCGCTTTCTGCAATTCCTCTGGCATCGCTCGGTGGGCGTAACCTTTGTTTTGATATTCTTGGATTTGCCGATGGAAGTTTTCGTTCAACGCAGGATCCCGTTCTAGTTTACGCTCGAGGCATTGCATCCTACGCACAGCCATGGCATAGCTGTTGGGAAGATTGATGTCGTCCTGCTTCCAAATCAGTCCCGTTTCGAAGTGCGCTCCGATACGCCTTGTAGTTTGCTCCAATAACCGCTGTGCGCGTTCCTCTTCCTTGTTGAAACTGGCTTGGACCGGTATCGCTCCGTTTGCTTCCACTGCGAAAAACTGCTTGATCGTTTCATGCAACTCGCTGCTGGTTTCACACTCACACACATGAAAGCTGTAGCCTTCGGTTAGCCGCTCCTTCTGCTGCCCGTACACACACCAACCCAATCGAGTCTTCACTGCAGACGGACCTGTTCCGTCCCCTTCGCGTACCTTCAGAGGCAACGCCAACCGCAAATTGTCGAGGCCGATGAGAATTTTTGGAACCGCCCCCTGGTAACTCTGCACTGGAAGTTGCCTCAGGTACGGATGTTGCTCAGCAGCTTGGTCGTAATCGAAACTCTGACTCGGTAGGTTTAGATTTCCCACTGTCCGCGCATTGGCCAGTTTGAACTGCCGTTTCTGTCCTACTCCGGATATTACAACCGTCACTACCTGTGAGTTTTTCTCCACCCGAGAGGTGTTCCCGGTCCAGCGCAGACAAAGTGGTTGCGATCTTCCCCTTACTCCTAGCTGAGCTACTAGTCCACCTTCGATGAGCGTCAGCGATGATCCTTCATCCAAGAACGCGAAGGTATTCACGCGTCCTGAGCTGCCATGGAGCGTAACGGGAATAATTCTGAAGAGAACGCTCGAGTCGAAAAAGCTATGTGTGTAATTTTCAGCTACCCTGGGAATCGACTGCACCGGTGATCTTCCATGTAGTAACGGATGGTGGCGGTACTGGCAACCACTCACGTTGCACCGACTTTCGCTGCGACAGGAGCGTTTCCCATGTCCGAAAAGGCAGATTTGACAAACCCCCAACGATCGGATTCGCCTCCAGCGTTCGTCTACGCTGAGCGATTTGAATGCTTCGCATTCCCGCATCTTGTGGCCTGTCTTGTTGCAGTTGATGCATTCACCAGGTTTCGTTACTTTCATCGACGACGCTGGTAGTCCTATGTCAGTAACATGAGAGTTCACGTAATCCTTCGTCTTACCGCCGCTCTTCTTATGATCCGGTTCGTACATCACCACGCTCGTTGCATCTTGCACCACACCAGTCATATAGTCTACAAAGGTCTTCAAGTTTACTCCGTTGAGCCCCCGTTTGTAAGCAGTCCACATCATTTTCTGATCCGCCGGCAACTTGTTGACGAGTTCTTGGAGTAGCGTTGGGTTCGCCAGATGATCATGCTGGTCAGCCGCTTCGATGTGGTCGCAAAGTTCCTGCACCGCTAACCCGTATTCAATCAATCCCTGCAGCCTGTCAGATCAAGTAGAGGGAATCGACCGAACTTTATGTAAAAGGGCATTACTGAGGACTTCCGGACGACCATACCGCAATCGAAGAGCTTCGATGACGTGTGGTACCGCTGATGGCAGGACAAGACGATTGCGAACACTTTCCAACGCGTGCCCCTTCAAGCTCCGCTGGAGTCGAACCATGTTTTCACCATCGTTGTATCCGCACGCTCGGGTGGTGTATTCATAGTTTGAAATAAATATAGGCCAATCAGCAGGATCGCCCGAGAAGATAGGGAGATCTCGAGCCAGGGACTGCCGTGCTGCTAATTGCTGTTGAGTTGGATAACCAGCTGGACGAAACTGGTCATTTACCGAGGGGAAGTGGACATTACGATTATGGTTTGGACGATGGAGGCCAGGATTACAATTATCATTACCAGAGCGCGCGAGAAGCCGACGCAGCTGCTCTTCGATATTATCATTTGAGTACGCTTGTTCATTAAGCTGCTGCTCAGGATATTGGGTCGGAAATGAAGACAAAGTCGGAAAAGCATCGTATTTACTTGTATCATAGGGAAAGGCTTGACGCTTACCTGGTTCAACCGGTTCCGATTGCTTCTGCTTTGGAATCGCACCTAACGGTCTTACCTGTAGCGGGGTAGACGTATTCACCCGTTGGCTTTGAGTCATCGATTGGAAGCTATGCCGATTTGGAACTCTTGACGTACACACAGATGGCTGCTGCTCTGATCCTGCGAGATGCATGCTTTCAATCCGCCGCTTGCAGATTTCCAATTGTTCCATCAAAGCAACCATTTGATCCTGCGTCGGGTTGAGCTGTTGTTGACATCCGTTCAAACGAGATTCCAATTCCCGCACTGCTTTCACCAAGTCATTGTTTGGGGTACGATTCATTGCTGGATTCGAGATTTGCTGCTGAATTCGCGATGCACGACGTAAGTTTTCCTCATCACCTACGGCACCTTCTTCGACATCCGCGCTGTCCCTGATCCAATCCTGGATTCGAATACGTTCCTGTTCGTTCACTTGGCTTCTGCTATCTTCCTCCGCAATCAAATCGTCCACCAACTGCTGCTGTTCCTCGAGAAACTTCTTTTGGAGCTCAATTTCTACTCGCTGCCTCACCAATGTCTGTCGCTCTTTCAGACAAGAAAGATTGTTGGCCGTAATTGATGTTCTTGGCCAGATATTCGTGAGTACTTGCGGGATCACTGGTTCGGCCGGATTGGGGGGTTCTGGTGGTTCCGTGGGAACTAATGGTTCGGTAGGTATTAGTGGCTCGGTCGGTCCTACCGACTGTTGGCACGTATAGCAGACCCAAGCACGATCAGCTACGGAATCTGTGACGCCCGCACAAGAAAAATGAAACCATGCATCACATTCGTCGCATTGGACGAAATCATCCGCCGAATCTGGCCTCTCGCAAGCCACGCAGCTGCCTCTATCCGGTGGGGTGGCCATCTTGATTTCTTTGAAGAATGTCGGTTCAAACTTGTAGAGAAATACTGAGGTTTGAAAGCGTTTATTAATGAGTGCTTCAAAGAAATCAGTATGCTCTGCAAGATCTGAACTATGATCCCGACAATTCAGTATGGGAAGCTTTACGGAACAATGAAATCTACGTATTATAATAATTCTGTTGATTTCTACGTTCACCTGCGGCCACTTCAAACGATTTCAACGGTTATGTCACAAATGTGCCAACGCACTAGCTATCTTTTTGTATTCTTTGTATTTAGAGTTCACCAATTTCTTTTTAATCCGAAAACAATTAAATCACTATTAAATAGACGAAACCAAGCTCCTTTTCTATCCGTTTGACGTTTATGCTGCAGTCCCGTAGCAATGGGCACTCTCGTTACGATCGGTCGGCAGTGCAGCCAACTCCACGGCTGCTGCGTCGACAGCCATCGTCGGGCTCCAATTGACGATGTACACCGCCGCTTGAACTGCTTCGCCCCAAAGCTTCTTCGGTAGGCGAGAATCTTGAACCATCGTCCGGTTCAAACGCTCGCTTCCGCCGTTTTGCTGTAGCGTGTATGAAACGGTGTACTCCACTAGCATTCCACGGTCTCGGCAATACTGCTGTAACTCGTTGCCGACGTATTTTCCACCGTTGTCGCACCTAAGGCGACGGACCTTGCTGTCGAAATGCCCCTCAGCCATGCTCGCGTACTGCTTGAAGTCCTCCAGTACCTCATTTTTCGCCGCAAGGATGTATACGGCGCTAAAATGGGTAAAATCGTCGGTGAATGTAACGAAATACCTTTTTCCGTTCCAAAGGCTTGTTGGATCCCGGAACTGGTACGTCTCCAAAAGGCTGTCTCGCATGCTTCCCAAGCACACAAGGTTCGCACACTTCGTTGTCTTGAAATGCGTCCTTCCCCGAGCAAAGCTGAAGATCAAATTGAAATCAAAATTTGTTGTTATGATGTAACTTATTTTGAATACTCTAGTTGATCTCATTTTGGTTGACTTAACGGTTAACACAGCAAAATTGAGAGCAAATTTTTACACTGTGGAAGCAAACGGAAAACTAATCCTGCTTTCAATGAAATCAATTTGATTACTCTTTTTGCATTCATAATGTTTAACTGAATATGGGCCTGGCATAAATGGTTAGCATCCATGCTTCTCACGCTGAAAGACTGAAAAGTTGAATAAGTCAAATCTCACCCCGGACAAGTCAGGGATGACCTAAAATGTGTTAAACAAAACAAATAAATAATAATCATTAGTTAAACAACAGATGAACTTAAATTAAATTTTAAACAAGACGTTAAAGGGTGATACGGTCAAAATTTGGTCAATATCAACTTGACGTATTTCTTTCAATTTTGCATTTAAAAAACCTGAACACCCCTCATTTTGAAGGTGTGTGTGTGTAGAATGTTGCTCCTATTTTGATTTTGGAATTCACTCTTCAGTTGTCAAAATGCCGTCCAAGCAAGAAGAGCAGCGTATCAAAATTTTGCTCGCGCATCGCGAAAATCCGAGCTACTCGCACGCAAAGTTGGCAAAATCACTAAAAGTTGCCAAATCAACCGTTACAAATGTAATTAAAGTGTTTGGGGAACGTTTGTCGACAGCCAGGAAGTCTGGATCGGGGGGAAATCGAAAACCGGAAGCCGCTGAGACGACAAAGAGAGTTGCCGGTAGTTTCATGCGAAACCCTAACCTCTCTCTCCGAGATGCCGCAAATAAGCTGGGTGTATCGTCTACAACCGTGCATCGAGCCAAAAAACGAGCCGGACTATCGACTTACAAGAAGGTAGTGACTCCAAATCGCGATGATAAACAAAATACGACGGCCAAAGCGCGATCCCGGAGGCTGTACACGACGATGCTGACGAAGTTTGACTGCGTGGTAATGGACGACGAAACCTACGTCAAAGCCGACTACAAGCAGCTTCCGGGATAGGAGTTTTATACGGCAAAAGGAAGGGGAAAGGTAGCAGATGTTTTCAAGCACATGAAACTGTCAAAGTTCGCAAAGAAATATCTGGTTTGGCAAGCCATGTGTACCTGTGGCTTGAAAAGCAGCATTTTCATAGCTTCCGGGACTGTCAACCAAGAAATTTACGTGAAAGAGTGTTTGAATAAACGTCTGCTGCCTTTCCTGAAGAAACACGGTTGTTCCGTACTGTTTTGGCCGGATTTGGCATCTTGCCATTACGGTAAAAAGGCCATGGAGTGGTACGCCGCCAACAACGTGCAGGTGGTTCCCAAGGACAAGAACCCTCCCAACATGCCAGAGCTCCGCCCAATTGAGAAATACTGGGCTATTGTCAAGCGGAACCTAAAGAAGACCAAAAAAACTGCTAAGGGCGAGCAGCAGTTCAAGGCAAACTGGCTTTCTGCGGCGAAGAAGGTGGACAAGGTGGCTGTACAAAATCTGATGGCAGGGGTCAAGCGTAAGGCCCGGCAATTCGGATTTGGAAAAGCGGAAGCCTAACTGGATATTTTTCCTGAATTTTATACTAATTGAACTTGAAAAAGAAATTTAATTTGATTTTTTAAATAAACGATTTCACCGATTTACACGCGTTTTCCCTTGACCAAATTTTGACCGTATCACCCTTTAAGAGCAGAACTTCAAGTTAAGTTGCTTTCATTTAAAAAGTTTTGACTGCATAATGAAATCACAATATGATATCAGACTTATGTCGCGAAAATTGAAATCAAAATGAGTTTTCATTATGATAGAAACTGCAAATTTTAATATCGATTTGCTTTCATTATGTTAACCGACTTTGCTCGGGTCCTCAGCACCATGCCGTTGAGCATCTCGTTGCGCACCAGAGTCTTCAGACCACTCTTGCCAATGTGGCTGAACCTCCGATGCCACAGCTCGTACTCGTTCACCAGCAAGACTACCAGCGCTCCATCCACTGGTCCACGCTTCACGGTGGCGTTCAGCACGTACAGCTTGCCGGACAATTTACCAGTGGCAACCACTTCGCTGCCGTGCTTGATTTCCACAGCATCACCTCCAAACGTCACACGCATCACAAGCTTGCCGATGCGCCGAATGGAAAACAGATTGTACTGCAGTTCCGGCTGTACAGGACGTCATTTGACGCTTTCCGACCATCGAGACCATGCTTACCGTGCCAGAGTGATAGCTGTACACGACCTTCCCGGAGGCCACCACGATTGGCAGCGGATTGTCCAGCTTCACCACATCTCGAAGGCTATCCGCTGACTGCACCATGTGTTCGGAGGCGCCTGAATCGAGAATCCACCAGAACTGACTCAGATTCCCACCGTCACGCTTCGCTTCACCGTCCGACTCCGTTACAAACGCCACTCCGGACCCAGCGACGTTGGCCTTTTCCTTCCTCTTCGGCTTTCCGGACGACTTCCGTTGGTCCAAGTCCTTCTTCATGGGGCAGTTTGCGCATTTGTGACCCACTTTGCCACAGGAAAAACACTTCATCTTGGGCCGCTCACTGAAAAACGCCGACTCACCATCCAGAGTGCCTTCCGGTTCGCAGTTGTTCTGACGCTTCACATTTTCACTCAGCAACCTGGCCATCACAAATTCGAGTGTGCACTGCTCCGCCGGCAGGGTTTCGAGGACTGTCACCAGCTGCTGGAACGATTTCGGCATGGTTTGCAGCAAATTGAACACCACCAGCTGCTCGTGCAGCACGATGTCCGCCGAGGCCAGCTCCCGGATGATCCTCTCGAACCGCAGCAGGTGCTCTTCCATCGGTTCCGCTTCGCTGTACTTAATTAAGGCCAGTTGCTTCAGTAGGTAAAACTGGCCGGAAATTCCCTTCTTCGCGAACAAGTTCTGCAACGTTGCCCAGATCGACTTCGGAGTAGACTTGACCTTGATGTACTCCAGCTGCGAATCTGCGATCTTCTACACCAGCAACGGCTTGCAACGAGCTTCCAGAAGTTTCCGCTCCGACAGCTTCGTCTCCTTCTGCGCTTTAACCTGTGCCGTATCCGTTTCAGCCGCTTGGATCTCTGGAATTTCGTCCGCTTCCCGCCGGATGCAATCGATCAGCTGCCGCTCCTCCAATAACGTCTCCATTCGGAAACTCCAGTTAGGGAAGTTCTTCCCGTCGAAAAGGTAGGGCTTCTGTTCCGCTTGCATTCTTCCGGTTCTTCGTGAAAAAAAATTTCTTCGACTAACAATCTTCCGTTTCCAAGGGTTACAGGATGGCTGGGCCCATAACCTGTCGTGATAGTAGAGAGTTATGGAAAGACGACTACTTCTGTCAAAGGATAATTAGAAGAATGATTTATTTAACTTCAAACTCAAACAAACAAACTACTACGATCTAACATATCTTAATAGAGCTACTACGATCGGTTTGCTCGTTCTTGACAAAAAGATGGTTATCGTTCCGTCTTGCTCTGATAGTTCCTGCCGCAGTCCTCTCAACCTGATGGCTTCTTGTGCTGCCGCTGGTACCGCCATGTATTCAGCCTCCGTCGTTGATAAGGCCACGATTGATTTCTTACGACAGTTCCACGAAATCGGTCCACCTGACTGCATGAAGACGTACCCGGTGATAGAGCGTCGCGTCTCGATGTCGTTTCCCCAATCTGCGTCGCTGAATCCAACGAAACCGTTATCTGCTTGCTTTCGGTAGGTAAGCTTCATATCCTTCGTCCCTTTCAGATACCGCAAAATTCGTTTTACTGCTATCCAGTATGGCTTACCGGGTCGCTGCAGAAATGACTGACTGCGTTAACGGCGAAGCTGATGTCCGGTCGGGTACATTGCGCTAGGAACTGGAGACCCCCTACCAGCTCCCGGAATGGAACTTTCTGCATCTGCTTCCGTTCTTCTTCAGGTCTAGGGCTCATCTGCTTTGATAGTTTTTGATTGTGATATGCCGGGGTTGCTACCGTATCACAGTCACAGTTCCATCTCCTCGCCCGACTCGGATTCCAAGTCGACTTTGTTGGCCAATCCGAGATTCTCCATCAAAAACTTCGTT